CACAAGTGAGGAGCTCCCCAAGTTGATGTCTTTGCCACAAGAAACAACAGTGTCCTCTGTTCTGCAGTCGAGGAGGCAGGGACCCACTGTCTCTGGGAGACGGCCTCCTTTACCCTTGGTCCTCGGGGCTTCTGTACCCGTTCCCTTCCTTACCTCTGCTTCTGAGAGTGGTCCACAAAATACTCAGAGACACCACAGACTGCATCTTAATAACCCCATGGGGGCCGAGACAACCTTGGTTTCAACAGTCCTCGAGCTATCACAAGGAACATACCATCAATTTCCTCCAGCTCAGGACCTCCTCCTCGTCTCTGACTCCCCTCTTCTCCATCACGACATATCACAACTGAAACTAACGGCATGGAGAATAACAGCTTCTCTGCACGCGTAGTGAACGTTCTCTTGAATTCCAGGAAACCTACTACGCGGAGGTCCTACAATTATAAATGGCAAAGGTTCTGTTTTTCCCTAGGTGATGACGGCCCTCAAGCCACCTCAGTGGGTCTCGAATGAGTTTTCCAATTCCTCCTCTCCCTAGCTGACTCGGGACTTTCCCATTCATTGTTGAGAGTTTATTTGGCCGCTCTTTCGGCCTACCATGTTCCAGTTGATGGATGTACTTTGTTTTCACATCCAATTTCAAAACGTTTTTTAAAAGGTTTATTGCATCTGTACCCTCCTGTCAAAATTCCAGTCACTCCCTGGGACCTTCCTCTAGTTCTCCGCCAGCTCACGAGGAAGCCCTTTGAGCTGCTTGCAACATGCGACCTCAAACTCCTAGCATGGAAAATGGCCTTTTTAATTGCTGTCACCTCGGCTAGGCAAGTGGGAGAAATATTGGCTTTCCGGGATGATACACCTTACCTGTTGTTTTTGCCAGGTGAAGTCCTCCTCGTACCGGACATTTCCTTCCTGCCGAAGGTGGTGTCAGAGTTCCACCTGCAGGCAGAGGTCTTCCTCCCTGATTTCTTCCCAAATCCAACATCAGTAGAAGACAAGCTATTACACACTTTAGATGTGAAGCGGGCTCTCCTGTTCTACCTCAATAGAACACGCCCAATGAGACGAGACTCCCAACTGTTCGTCTCTTATGCACCAGCAAGGCTGGGGACTCGCATCACGGCTCAGCACCTGTCAAAGTGGATTGCGGGGCTCATCCATCTCTGCTACCTAATCGCCAAACAGCCATTGCCTGGCCCTATCAGGGCACATTCTACCAGAGCTGTGGCGACTTCCACCGCCTTCCTCCAGGGAATTCCCCTGACGGACATTTGCAAAGCCGCTACATGGGCCACGCCTAACACCTTCATCAGGCACTACGCCCTAGACGTCCGTAAGAACACTAATACCAACATGGGACATCACATCCTGTCTTCGGCTACGGAGCAAAAGACCTGCCAGCACCCTCCTCCAGGTAGGCTACTGCTCGCTAATCTCCCATGGGTGTGAAACACAGAGACCACATCGAAGGTAAACAGATTGCTTACCTGTAACTGATGATCTTTGAGTGGTCATCTGTGCATTCACACCACCCGCCCTCCTTCCCCGCTGCTGTCAGCTTCTACATTTTAAATAGGGGTTGATTTGCGGCGGTTTGAAGGAATTGGCGGGATGTCCGTGCCCACCTCTCTGGGCTAGCACGGTGGGGTTCCTGCGCATGTCCGAGGGACTGGGCATGAAAATCCGTTAAAAGAGCTTGCTACAGCACTGATCAATTTAGCGCGTGCGCACTGAATCCCATGGGTGTGAATGCAGATGACCACTCGAAGATCATCAGTTACAGGTAAGCAACCTGTTTATTCCTCTGACTGCAGATGGTAAATGTAAAAATGGATTGATAGATCCTGCTGTGGCTTTGGAAACTGCACACGGCTTTTAAAGTTTTCCTGGCTGGATACCATTTGTTGGGAGCTTATTTTGAATTATTGAAATTTTGAGTGCCCATTATTAATTCCAAGTGCACAATGAGTGCACTTGAGTGCCTTTGGTAAGTGCTCACTGTCGCCACTCCTGTAAAATTAATCCCACCAGCCAGGCAAACATTAAGAGAAGCTTGTTTTACAAGAGAGAGAGCAGCACACTAAGGTCACCACATTCATTCTGATAAATTCAGACCTGACCTATGTGTTTTACTCTCAGCTGCGATGGGTAGTGGCATGTGCCACTTTCTATGTGATGCGATCATCCATGTGGCAAGTCCTTTCAAATGCTAGAGCTGCTGCATGGCACAGACATCACACAGAAATGGTTTCAGGGGCTTCTTGCATGGTGTGTGAAATGTCAAGGTTTGCTTTTAGTGTTACACAACTAATAATGGACTGATATACCACCAGAGTCACACCATTCTCAGCTCCCTGACTTAATGGACTCAGGGGAGTGTAACTCTGCTTAGGATGGCATGCCACAAGTTGCTTCTGCCTGAGCAAGAGAAGCAGGCTTTGGAACAAACAGCTGAAGAAACAATTTCCTATGGCTAGGTTTAGATACTGTGTCTCTTGTGAAAGAGAGAATATAGCTCCATTCCAGACCCAGACCCAGAAACTTGGAACACACATTCTTTTTGAACTCACATTCCAGGCCATTTTGCTGGAAAAAGTGAACGACAGAAGTAGAAGGCCTGAGGGTCAAATGAGGTTCTTTAATCTAAACCCTATGAGAAAAGGCAAGATATAAATAAACCAGCTAACCAATAAACCAGCTAACCAACCAACAAACAAATAAACAAATAGTTGACGTGGCTGAGAGTGGCATAGTGTTTATCTAGGCAATAAGCCCCTTAAAGTGAGCAGCCAGCCAGGCCAGCATCTTCAAAGGGTTGGGTAGAATCCCAGTGGTCCAAATTTTTAGGCACCAATATCTAATTTATAAGTGAGCCAGGGTGGTGTAGTGGTTAAAGGGTTGGACTAGGATCTGGGAAACCCAGGTTCAAATTCCCACTCTGCCATGGATGCTTGCTGGCTAATCTTGGTCCAGTCACACACTCTCAGCCTAATTTACCTCACAGGGTTGTTGTGAGGATATAACGGAGGACAGGAGAATGATGTAAGTCACTTTGGGTCCCCATTGGGGAGAAATGAGAGACATAAATAAAGTAAACAAATTAAAAAATAGTTTTCAGTTGCCCACAATTTATCCAGTTCTCCTATCTTGTATACTGAAGTACTTTGTCTTTTGAGATGAACACAAAATGTATGCTTGTGATTTATCAATTCATTATTAAACACTTTACAATATCCATTATTAAGCATGTTGCAATATTAATCATACCAATCGGTGATGACAGTTTCTCATGGGGAAATGTTGGGTTGAACAGAAATTACCTGTGAAGTGGGAAAGTATGTTAGCCATCTTTCAATATGCACCGCATACCATCCAGGAGTCAAGCAACGTTTCTGTAGAGTCTTTAACTCAGGGGGTGCCCAGTTATCTGATGTAATCACTTCATAGAAATTGTACTTCAAAGCAGCAGGGTCTTCGTGAGAACGCTGATGCTAGAGAAGAAGATCAGATATCAGTGAACAACTCCTGAACAACCTGATTTGCTTCACCTTTGAGTTTGCCACAGCTTCTATTAGCGGGATTTTGTAAAAATGTGGGCGCTACAGTTGTCATTATCAATTTCATTTTTTAAAAGTTAATGTTAAATATATTTTCAGCTGATCCATCTCATCTTCTGAACTATCTATAATGAGAGCAATTTCTGACACATATCAAGATGTAAAAGATAGCTTTTACAGTCCAGTCCTAATTGCAATTATACCCTTCTAAGGCCACTGAAGTCAATGAACAGAAGGGCATAACATTGCTTAGGATCACACTGTTAATTTTATGGAAGTTCCTTTTTCTCCTTAAGGCATGAAAGTTTTTTCTATTTATTTATTTGACTTTTTAAAAGTTGCTGCTCACGCAAAGCGTCTTGAGGCAACTTACAACATTAAAACCAATAAGGGTAAAAACAACATAAAAACAAATAAAATAAAATACTAACATTAAAATATTAAACTCTTAAAGTATGTGGCTATCCTGACTGTGCATTCCATAGGATAGAGGCCACAAGTGAAAGGCCCTTCCCCCAGTGACAGCTAGCCAAGCGATCCAGGGGCCAGGCTCCTACAAGAGGCTCCTAAACAATGACCAAAGGAAGTGCAGAAGGGAGGGCTGTAGTGGGAGATACGGTCCTGTAAATATGAGGGTCCAGACCATTAAGGGCTTTAAAGGTTAGCACCAACACCTCGAATTGGATCTGGAGACTAATTGGTAGCCAGTGCAGCTGCCACAGAATTGGAGTAATATGAACTGACCATGATGTTCCAGTCAGCAACCTGGCAGCTGCATTCTGGACCACCTGCAGTCTCAAGCATTTTCAAGGGTAGCCTTATGTAGAGTGAACTGCAGTAGTCCAATTGGGAGGTGACTGTTTCATGGCTCAATGTGGCAAGGTTTGACTCAGACAAATAAGGAGCCAGCTGGAGGGCCTGGTGTAGGTGAAAAAATGCTGACTGCACTACCATGGACACTTGTTTATCCAATGATAGCACAGAATCCAACCACACCCTGAGATTCTTTATAGAGTCTACAGCTGTCAGCTGGACACCACCGAGTCTTGGGAGTGACCCTTCAGCTAACATCACAGTCTTTCCCAGTTACATGACCTCCATCTTGGATGGATCCAACTTCAGCCAGTCCCCCCTTAACCATTGGACTACTGCATCCAGGCGCTGGGGTAGTGCTAAGAGCCCTGCTGCTGGCTGCTTATTCTGCAGGATGAAGAGCAGAGTGTCTATAGCAGAATGTAGTTAATGGGGAGAAACTGAGCCTTTAGCAAAGTTTTATGATGGAGGCAATGGATGCTGAAAACAAACTTTTAACTGGTACCGTCTTCCTCTATAAACATTGAAATATATTCCATTATAATCACAGGGCTCTGTGAAATAACTAACCAGAAAAGAAGGAAAACAAACACGCAAACAATGTAAAGAACCCCAAATAACCCTGTTTTAAGTACTAAAAACTCTGTTAGCCGAATTGCTCTTTAGGAGAGACAATTGTAACAGTTTATAATTGGGATTCTGGTCAGTGTTTACGGAGGATGGGCTGCACCAATACGCTTCCAATGAAGAAACAGAGACAGAAGTAAAATTCTCTTTGGTTTACTATATATCATTCAAAACACACAATAACATACACACATACAAGAGCTAAGTAAAAACAGATAGATTTGGTAAAGCACTTTCGCATTAGCAGGTATATCATTGAGGGGAGATATTTACTTCAGGTGATGCGCGGTTCCTAAAGCTTCCAGCGGGAAGGTAGGTGGCAGGGGAGGAAAATGGTAGAAGCATATGTAACCAGACCGGCTGAGAACACGTGTATTGCCTTAGCTGCAGACTAAGGTAAAACGAGGCAGGGGTTTTGGTACAGAAAGCTGGATTTGAGAGGAGAAGCAGACATATAGGGGTCATAGGTAAAGGAAAAGATGGCGTGGCTGCTCTGTGTTCTGTGTTTTAAAGCTGCTTGCAAGCGGGAGGGGGTGGGCCCAAGTGGATTACCAGGTGGCCCTACCGCACAGGTCAGGGATTGGCTACGGGGTCAATTTCCAATCTATTGATTAACTTTAACTGTTGGTACCTGGACGGGGGCAGGAGGTACGTGCAGGGAGACCAGTAGCGCTGACTCATCATTAGCCATGTGGAATGCAAGTCCATTGTGGTCTGGCGGAGGGGGAACTCTGAAATAAGCCTCTCATCTGGAGACATGCTGTCGGGGCTAACTAATGAGTTTTCTGTGTTTGCTGTAAACCTTGTGTTTGCATATACATAATGAGCTAAAGACTCGGGGCCCTTCTGGAACGATGTTGACAGTAGATTATCTACCTCAGCTGGCATCTTCCTTGGGTGCCCTCAGGTTGACCTCTTTATTTCACAGTCTCTTTTTATTGCATCAAGCTTTATTCCATATAACATAGTCCAGAAATAGCCCAATATGAACGTCTGGGCTAACAACTCCAAGCAGTAAAACCTAGGTTCTCACAGCAGAAACTTAAATCAGGATAAGTTATCTCTACTGTGAGGGGCCACCTGGATTTAAATCTCCACAACCAAGATGATTCAAGCTCATTATCCCCATTCAACCAAGAATCTCACTAGATGACTGTAGGTTAGTTCTCTGGCAACCTAAACTACATCACAGGATTGTTGTGAAGATAACCCAGAGGAGAACCCAGAGGAGCCCCACATTTCTTGGAAGAAGAAAGGGATAAAATACATTAGTACTATCTAATGCTAACTGAAAGATTTTCTTCAGGCTAGAGGAGGACACTCTGATATTGTTGTAAATATGTGGTATCTGTCTTTCAATACCTATTTTAGAGATCAAGCATGCACTATCTCAGATCAGTGTTTTTATACTTGCAATGAATCAAAAATTAATGAAACTAGGTTTTAAGCTCCACTAGTGACCTAAGTCAGACGTTAAGGATGTGTATCCCACACTGCAAATGGAACTGGAATCTGTCACCCTATCATGCCACATACAGAGAATCAAACTGGACTACTTATCATTAAATTCCATGGACACTGGAATCTGATTTCCACGTGTTATTCAATAATACACAGGAATGCAGAATATCCAGTCTCTATGTCCAGATCTATCTTGCTGGATCTGGGCAACTGATTCTCTAGCAATGCTGCAAGAGCATCCTTTATCTGTAATACCATGTGCACAGAATTGGTAAGGCCCATAGCACTGGGAATGATTTCAGATTTCTCATCCCCATTTCTCATTTGTGTCTTAAACTCATAATTCTCTACCATCATGTCAATTTGTGTTTTCTTGAACTGATTTTCCCCATGTATGTATTTTCAGCTTTCTACATTATATGTCTAAATAATATACTGTATAAAAACTGTACAAAATGTGTACAGAATTAAGCCAAATTATTTTTTTAAAAAAAACAGCAGCAAAAAGCACTAAAAATACTAATTATTGAAAAAATATAGAAGTATTTATTTACTGAAAATATTTCTGTGCTGCCTTTCCACCCAAATAGGGTCCTTGAGGTGCTGAACATTAAAATATGGAAACAACAGGTAAAATAAGGTATATATAAAGTATTTAAACAATGTATTAAAACATATAAACATAAAGAATGTACATTACATACATACATATATTAAGTTCTCAGCATAACATGTGATCAAAACACATTTGATCACATGGGCTTGGAGACAACCTTGGGAACACTGTAATGTGTAATTATGCCTCTAGGCCAACATGGATGCTTAATTTGCTCATGATAGAGTGATCCATACTCTGTCACAGGGTTACGGAAGTTGCTTGCCAGGCACTGATGTTCACATGGGAAAGAACCATGTAATCTGTCTCACCTATATAGTTCTTTCATTTAGATATTAATCATGTGTTGTGGAATATGTCTCCTGTTTTGCCTCAGCAACCTAGAAGTTGGGTCTTGTATGATACTGTATTTGTTATGCCAAAAAATGTTTGTACAGAAACTGTACAGGGATTAGCCCACCCAGGCCAGTCCAGGGATGGGAGGGAATCCTGTACTTTTCAGTACATTAAACAACAAGCCACGAGACAGTCTGTACCATCTCTGGTCTTCACAACAATTTGCCACCAGAACCTCTTTTCACTAGTCCCTGCCTTTCCTAATGGAGAGATTCCAGCCCTTAGTTAGCATCTGGGATTTAACACAGTAGCAACTCTATCCAGAGATGCACACTCTTACTAAGGTAGCATATGTGGTCAGGGTTAGGCACAAGACTTAGACTTGGAATTCAGTTATAACATCAGAGATAAATTAGCAATAAGAAGGATCTTTATTCAGTACAGAGCTTAGCATAGACTACCAGAGATTACAAAAATAACAAAGGCTAGGGTTGTTTGCCTTAACTAAACAATAATGATTCATAGTTACCATGTCAGGAGTATTCATCAGTCCAAGATAGTCCAGTACCAAGGGATTTTGAAGAAAAATCCCATTTTTGCAGACAATGACAGGGGAGAGAGCAAGAGACTCGAGAACAGGAAGAAGAGCTCACTCCCATAGGGATCAATTATACCCCAATTCCAGTCACAAATTAGATGTGACCATCAGCCAATTGCGAGTGGGCATGGGTGTGCCCAATTGTTGGTTGCCATAGCTGCGTGTGGGGATAGGCTATAAGTTTGTGACTCCACCTGCACTCATCTGACCCAAACTCCAGCTACTTCATTGTGTACGTGACTGGTCACAAGTGGGCAAGAAAGTGTAGCCATGAGGTCTGGCATTTGGCATGAAAGTGTGGCCTCACCATTTGGCTTGCAACAGGAAACAAGACACAGCATGTTATCAAAAGACATCACAGGAGAAGGCATGTGAATATAGAAGCAATATTTCTATACAGAAACCACACCTGATACCAGGAGTATGCTCGGTCCGATGGATCAATGAGAATGGTGATGAGTTTTGCCTTGGGAATGAGGGAGGAAGCACGTCTGGGAGCTTCTTCTGAATGGAAGTAGTTGGCACTTTTCTCAAATACGATATCAGTGGTGGTATTAGAAGGGGTAGGGAAAAAATTCATATACCTGAAAGTAAAAAAAAAACAATAGCACCTATCAAGATATGGATGCAGACATACATTAAATTAGTTCTTTTCCCCACTGCAGGTATTTCTGCACTTGTAAACGTGTGGAGTCAGGGAGGGTCAAATGTAATTTAATTCAAATACATATTAGGAAAATAAGTTAATCCTGGTGGGCCATAGTCTGACCCCTCACTCCAGGTACATAATCACGGCTATTGTTACAATGTCCAATAAAACCCTCTTTCCTCTGTCCACCCTATGGATGCCCCTGAGGAAGCAGAAGAGGAGGAGGAAGAAGAATTGGATTTATTACCCACCCTTCACTCAGAGTCTCAGAGTGGCTTACAATCTCCTCCTCTCCTCTTCCCACAACAGACATCCTGTGAGGTAGGTGGGATTGAGAGAGCTCTTTCAAGAACTGCTCTTTTGAGAACAGCTCTGAGAGAGCTGTGACTGACCCAAGGTCCCACAACGTGTGGAGGAGTGGAGAATCAAACCTGGTTCTCCAGATTAAAGTCCACTGCTCTTGTCCATTACACCAAATGGCTCTGACCAGGCACATGAATGAATTGAAGTGTGCTATGCGTTGCTCCCAGATAGCATCCACCTGTTGCTTTAACCCATACAGCTCTTGACTACAAGTTTGTAAAAGATCCACATGGTGACTGCCTCCTGTATGAGTCATTGCATTGTATTGGCAAATTTCTTGGCTTTAGAAGATTTTTTTTTAAAAATGATTGACTTTTCCAGATGCCATAAACCAATGATCCTCTGTTATACTGATCTATCATTTTGTCATCCCTACCAGTGAAGGATAGACCCTTAATACAAAAATACCTTGTGTAACAAAGGATGGAATCAAGAGAGCTTCTTGCAAGTGAGAAAATCACAATTTGACTACAGTCCCTAGCCACCCTCCCCAAACCCATGCTATGTGTACCAGGATACTCCAGGACAGTGTGGGATACAGCATGGGGAGCTGCAGAAGGACGGATTCTCAGGGGAAAACTACACATTATGTTTTACATGAGTTTCCAATGGGGACTGGCAGCCATATTGCAGCTGTAAGTGTCTGGTGGCAACTATTGTGTAAGAGTGCAGCAGGAGCCTATTTGGATCACGAAATGGCGTACGGGCTGTGCTAATGGGATTAATAATATCCCCGGTGACTCCTGAGCTGTCCAGCTCCTGAAACCTGCATGGGGGAAGCCAGGAGCCTTTCCTCCCCTGTTCCATGGCCCTGATCTGAATAGGCCTCTTGCTGTGCTTCTACACAGGAATTGCCACTGGGGACTCACAGATGCAGTCGGGCTGCAAGTACCTGTGGAGATTTCATACAAAGCATAAGGTGTAGTTTGGCTCAAAAGAGGGGAAAACCCCAAACCATTGCATGATTCTCTGGAGCCTTCTCAGTGTTTTCTGGGAAGGCACATAATGTGGAAAGCGACGAAAACAAGTGACAGATTTTTACCGATTATTGCACACTACCATTTAACAGTTTATAGATCTGTCCCTCTGTTAGTTATTTTATTTTCATTTTTTTTAAAAAATCAGTCTCTTTATATTTTTTTTCTAAGGAGGAAGATTCCCTGATCTTCTGATTGTTTTCATGATCTTGAGTTCAAATGACATGTTTTCAAAGTAGGGAAACCAGAAGTGCGGTTTTGTAAACGTGGGTGCATCACAGACTTATACAATAACATGATGATATTCCCTTTGTTTTTAATTTCCTTTCTTAATCATTCCCATCATTTATAACACTGTCATTAACTATAATTTATAACATATATAAAACATCCAATTAAAAACAAATTAAAAGAGACAAAGAAGGAATAAACATAAAGCCCCCATCCTTCTGAGTGTGTTTGTTCATAGTACAACATAAATATTGACATTGTAACATGAAAGGGAGGGAAAAAAGAAGTATTCTGGCAAACTTCTCATCAGTACAAACTAATTTTAATTCTCAAAGCACCATGCACAGAAAAGGCATCTGGAAATTATGTAGATGTCACAGATACTTTGATAATTGCTCCTCTGTGGTCTGGCATATGCTAACAATGGACATTTGCTTTTTGTTATTCTTACCAGTCAATTCCCTTGTGGTAGTTGTTTCCGTTAAAGAACTGAACTTCTTCAAAGGTTTTTGGACTGGGGAGATTACTAATGATGGAAGGATGCATAAGAAGAAATAAATAAAGTGCTGTTGTTCCTACAGGGAAATAAGCAGAAGACAGAAATATATGATACTAAGGGATAGGATATAAGCACTGAAATAATGGGAGTTTCACAAAATACACAGATGACAATCCCAGTTACGGGGGGGGGGGAAGTGTTAATATTATGCAGGTTTTTATATCACCCTGAGAAAATTGCTTTTAACTTAAATTCTATTCTCTGATGAGTTAATGAGGCCCCTACTGAATTCAAATGGGAAGTATGTACTTAAGAAGTGAATGTGTCCTGAATTTCAGACATCTTTTCATTTCAACTCAATAATCTCCTTTATGAACATGATTGTGTCCCCCCCCATCACAGTTCATACCTTTTCTTGCTTTGATCTATGCACTTATCAATCTGGACTGTTAGGTGATGTAAGCTTTTGTCCAAAATAAGGTTGACAAAAGCAAATTCACTTTAAAAAGTGAGACTTAATTTGCAATATTTTCCATAATGATGTAGAGTAGCGATCAATAAACCCATAACTCAATTCATTCTCACCAGCATCCTGTGAGGAAAGCCACACAAGGGAGCTTCAAGGCAGAGAACAGTGCAATCCTACACAGAGTTATTCCAGTCTAAATCCATTGAGTTACAGGGGCCCTACTGAATTCAAATGGAAAGTAAATAGAATTTTGTCTTTTTGTCAACCCAATCCTTTTCTTTATGGACATATTTCTTTTTTTTTTTACATCCTTTTCTGCTTCAACCAATGCAAAGATAAACCATCCAAGGTCCGCTGAAGTTAGACTGGAGCAACTGCACATAGAATTGCACTGCTATATCCAAATCCAATCGAACAGATTGGAATAGAAATCTGTAAGAGCGTTCATGGCTTGGCAACAGAAGGTGAAATGATGTTTGATTTCCAACAAGCATACAGTAGCATGTCTTTTAAATTAGTTTCCCTTAATTAGCTTTAGATCATTAAAAAAAAACTTACCTTTTTCACTGCTTTCTCTATAGCTAGCAAACATGATTATCTGATTAGGATGTCAATGGGGTTTCTTTAAATATGTAATTTAATGTTGTGTGGGGAGAAAGGTGCCAATGGCTCAGAGCTGATGATTTCTTATCAAGAGTGAGATTCCAGCAATTGCTCATCACCAATTTGCTTGGCACCCTAGGAAAGTCATTAACGTCTAAGGATGCAATGTGGAAATCTCTAGATTTAAATCACAGCAGGAGGATAATAGTCCCCCCCTACACACAAAAGCACTTATTTTAGGGTCTATTAAAATATTATGCAGTGGTAAAGCTGGGTTTGCTTCTAAGTGTACACTTGACCACGGGGGGCAGAACAACAACAACAACAACACTATTATGTGATTTTATGACAAAAGTGGATTTATAGTCTGTTGCTGTTTTTCTGGCTGGCTGGTTTTTATGATTTCATGATAAGGTCATTAGATGGTTTCTTCTTCTTTTATACCACTGTATTTTATTTTGTTGTTTTAAACAGCTTGGTGTTTTGTATGTAATAGGCTTTGGAAAATGTTCTTTGGAGAAGCAGTATAGAGATATCTTAAAGAAAGAAAGAAATTTCTCCAGATAAGAAATAATAGTACTCTGGAATCAGCAAAGTGAATAGTTATTTCCAAACCTACAATTAAATAACGGCTATTCTTAAAGAAAAGCAAGCACTGATTTGTGTGGTTTTTAATTTTTTAAAGAATGACAGTATGTGGGTTTCTTATCTCATCATCAACAATGACTCTGTTGCCATGTGTTTGCCTAATTGTACCTCTTTACTAGAAAATGGCAAGTGATCAGGTATCTACCTATCAATTTTATTTATTTATTTAAATTTATATCCCACCTCCCCACTGAGGCAGGCTCAGGACAGCTTACAGAGAGATAATTAAACAGATACAACAAGAAGTTTATTGTGAATAAAATCACAATAAATATAAAATAAAACAGTACATAAAGTGCTGTACATAAAATGCTAGTACTTCAATATGTATCCTGCTCTTCTTCCTCCCTCTCTTCTCATTTTGTCCTTAGAACAACCTGTGAAATAGCATAAGCTGAAACAGAGTGTCTGGCCCAAGGGTACCTTGTGAGGTTCATGGCTGAGTGGGAATTTGGGTCTCCCAGGTCCCTGCCACACGGCAGGAAAAAAAGCGGGCTTTAAAAGCCGCACCAAAATAGAGACGCTGCGGCGGGATCCCACGAATCCCCTGAGCCGCGGCGCCGTTGCTCCCCGGCACGATCAGATGCCGGGGAGGAAGCGACGGTCAGGAGGGGGAGGCTGCCGAACTGCACATGTCTGGCCTTGATGCGCCGTTTTCCGAAGAACCACCTAGGTAGGTGGTGTAGTTTTGATGCGGGGTTTTGGGTGGAAGGGACGGATCGGCAACGGGCATGGCACGCTTCCCAGATGTTGCTGTGGGATCGCGCCTGTTTGCTGCGCCCCCAATCCGTCCCTCTCCCGGCCCAAAACCTCTTGTGTGACCGGGGCCCCAGTTTGACATTCAAACCATTATACTACTTTGGCTCTAGTACCAAGACATCAAGTAGACTGGGTACATACTAGGACAATCTTATGCCCACTTGACTGAGCATGTCTACTGAAATTACAGTAATTTATATCTGGACATGATAAAAGGTTATGCTAATTGATTATACTATTGATCATGCAAACACAGTTTCAGGACTAAAGGAAAGTGGATATGGATGCTTCTAAGAAATTCTGCAGACTCAGCAAGTCACACCCCACAATGTTTTATTTTTCCATCTGAAAACCATTTATTTGTAGTATACATTGTGTTGTTCATTTACCTGTTTTCTGTGGACCAATCACAAGAAATTTTGGCAGGTGTTCACAAGATTTATCTCTAGACCAGATATCCCGATGGCGTCTGTCATCACATGGATTGGGGGGGGGGGGAGAAGAGACTCAAGTCAGGAAGCCATTCTAACATTCTGTCTTTTTGCTCATCAGAAAATCCTGTGCAAAAATTACTACCCTGTGAATTCTATATGTGCCCCTCTTCCCTGACTGATTATTTACATGGAATTTGAAACTATCATTACATGCAGTCTTAATGGATATGGCCTTCATACATTGATACTTGTACTGCCAACTCTTGTCGATAAGCAGGGCTGGTCCTGGAAACCATGGACAATGGTAAATATCCCAATAATTAGTAAAGAAAATTTGGAATTTTGTGGCAAACTGTTACTACACATAACTTCAATTGCTAGACATCTGAGGCTAGATGGGTGGCAACCTAAAACAGGGTCTTCTCTATTATGGTGCCCTAACTACGGAACTCCTTCCTCCTTCTACCAGTGGGGAAAGACTTTGTTGTTTTGTTTGGTGTTCCCTCACTTACTTTCATTGACCCTCTTCCTGTTTGTGTGCTTGTGTATTTGTGCATTTATATACTTTATTAATTGCTTTAAATATGTTGATTATATATCAACATTTTAAACATTGTTTTGATAGTTTACTCTCTTGGGGACTGTAAACTAAGTGGAAAGGTAGCATGCAAATATTTTAAGTAAATAAATAAATTATATATATTATTAGCTACTGTAACTGGCAACAGAAAAGAATAGCAGATATCTTTTTGAGGAGGTAAAATTTTAGGCAAGATGTCACTGTTCTTTGACAACAGCATCCAGAATTTTAAAAAGTAGTTGAATCAACCAGTAGCTGTACAGCATAATGAGAATCAAGTATTTTAAAGCATCTCTCCCTTATTATAATTGAGTATGAAAGTTCTATATGAACGTTCTAAATTTCACATCCTTAGTGTTAGGCCGGAAGAACTGCCACTCAGAACACACTGGCTGGGTTGACTGGCTGCTTTGTGCAGTCCCGCCCAGCGTTCCAAGGTCATTTGCATGTGGAAGCTGATTGGACTTCACTCCATTCCACACCCGCAAGGCAGTTGGAATGGAAGCTGCCTGGGTGATTTCAGAGCAGCCACAGACTTTCTGCCAAACCTACCTTACAGTGTTGCTGTACAGATCGCAAAGCCAAAGAGAATGAAGTAAGCTGATTTGCTCCCCCGCTAATGAGAAAGACAGATTTTTGCCTAGAAAGAGGCTGCTGAGAGGGGAGGAGATAAAGTTGCCAGCTTCAGGTATGGTAATTCCTGGAGATTTGAGGGGTGGAGCCCGGAGAGGGGGACTTCAGACAGGTACAGTGCCATAGACTCCACTCTCCAACCCAGCCATTTGCTTCTGGGGAACT